GGGCTGTCATGGAGCCCAGGGTAGCCTGACTATGTAGCCACGATGACCTTGAACTCTTGCCGCCTCACCCCAAGTACTGTAATCATAGGCATGTGCTAATACTACCCAGATTTCTTTCCTTACCGAAGACCAGAGTGACTTTCACTGCTGGGCTAATGGCATTCTGCTCAAGTCACTAGCACCCCAGGCATATTTCTGACACCCACCCACCATTTCTTAACCCAGTACCTTAGACTGCTTGGTCAAGCTACCACTGAAATTCTCACCATTTGAATACTGGCGCTTTGACTAATCTTTGTAAGAAATGAACTGTTTATATTGTACTTTTTGTTGCCTATGACCTGAGGGTCCAAACTGACAGTGTAACATAAAATCTTAAAAGACTCTGGAAAAACATCAAGTGCTCTTAACCCCTGAGCCATCTCTCTAGCCCCTTGAAGGTTTATTTATTTATTTTGAGACAAGGTCCTACTATGTAGACCAGGTTAACCTTGAGCTCACAGAGATCTGCTTGTCTCTGCCTCTGGAGTGTTAAGATTAAAGGTATGAACCATCATGCTTGCCTGAAGGTAATTTTTTGGGGGGGTTGAATAAAAATGGCCCCCATAGTCCTATAGGGAGTAGCACTATTAGAAGGTGTGGCTTTGTTGGAGGAAGTGTGTCACTGGGGGGTGGGCTTTGAAGTTTCAGATGTTCAAACCAGGCCTAGTGGCTGTCTGTCTTCCTGCTGCCTGAGAATCCAGATGTAGAACTCTCAGCTACTTCTTCAACACCTATGTGCCTGCCTGCCGCCATGCTTCCTGCCATGATGATAATGGACTAAAGCTCTGAACTGTAAGCCAGCCCCAATTAAATGCTTTCTTTTGTAAGAGTTGCCATGGCCATGGTGTCTATTCACCGCAATGAAACCCTAAGATGGGGTTTGGCTTTTCTCTGTGTAACAGAGTCCTGGCTGTCCTGGAACTCTGCAGACTAGGCTGGCCTCAAAATCACAGAGATCCATCTTGCTCTGCCTCCCAGGGCTGTGATTAAAGGTGTGTGTGCCACCATGCCCAGCCTAAGGCTGGCTTTTACACAAAGGACTAGGTGTTGTAATTGTGATGAAACTCTGGGTGTGGGCTGCCATATGTGGTAGATGACGCTCCAGGCCCCACTTCCCAGGGCCGCTCTCCCTACTCCACATGCTGGGGACTTTTAGGGGGCAGCAATGATGGGCAGGGGAGGAAGGGCAGTTATTCAGTCTCAGTGTCTTAGGGTGGAGCTTTCCCATGCTGTCAGTGGCTCCACCCACACTGCTTTCTAAATGTGAGGCAGAACTTACTTACATGTAGAATGCACTTTGTTCTTGTAGCTCAAGTAACCCAAATCTCTTTGGCTGTTGTCCCAGACCTAAGCAGGGAGTCTCCACCATTCTTAGGATGACTGTGCTTTCCAGAGAGAATCAGGCTCATGTGTCCCAGCCTGGATAGCTTCTCAGACTCTGATCTAAGAGCAGTGATTTTTCTGGATATATTGTTATTGTTTGCACAAGTGTAACAGATTACTGAGTAACTCATCTAGAAATGGTTAAACCTGAAAATCACTTTGTATTTGAATGAATTTCTTAAAAACTTCCATTGGATTTCTATCATACTAAAAATTAAAATTTAAGGGTGGTGGCAACACTTCTGAAACCGTAGCACACAAGAGGCAGAGGCAGGAGGACCATGAGTTTGGGGCCAGCCTGGGCATTCTAGTGAGAGCCTCTCCCCAAAAACCTAGAGATCTCATGCTGCATTCTATCAGGCAGTATTTATGGAATGACTAGAATAAGTTCTTTCTCCAAATAGGATTACGCTACAACACCCTCCGCTACTGCCGCTGCTCGGGTCACCTCTTAGAAGTTGCCTAGGGAACATACAGCCCTCATTTCAAAGTCCTCAGCAACTCTTCTCTTGAGCACAGCTACTTCTGATTTGGCCCAAAGCCATCTGGACACAAGTTTGGATGGCATGATGGCTAACTAACAAGAAACACAGCAAAAGGGGCTGGGGAGGTTACCTGGGGAGAAAGAGCTTGCTGTGTGAACATGAGCCCACGATTTCTGGTCCATGGTGCCCACGTAAAAGCTAGTTATGGTGGTATCACCTGTCATGACAGCATGGGGCGGGTAGAGACAGGCGAGTCCTGGGGTCTCACTGGCTACTTAGGCCAGCCGCAACAGCAGACTTCAGGTGCAGAGGAAAGGCACTTAACAAAAGATGGAGGCAGACAGAAGACAACCCGTGCTGACTTCTGCCTCCACAAACCTGTCAGGGCAAACACACATCCTCTCCCCACCCTCCCCGAAAGGAAAAAGTCAGAAGCAGGCAGTGTTCTTTAGGCTGAAAACGTAAGACAAAACTCTGAGACCCTAAGTTCAGCAGCAGTGCTGGTTGCTCTCACCCATGTGGGGGGACCTGTCTTACTCAACCTGAGAAAACTGTCCCTGTTTGGTGGTGACACTAGTTCCCTTTCTCAGCAGAGTGAGCATCAACAGCTGACCTGGGGGACAGATCTACACTGGTGGCCTTGGAAATGAGCCTCGGTATTGCTGAGTAGGTTATTTTTGTTTGGTCCTGGCAGGACTTTGCAATTAACACAACAGCCTCTGGAAATCTGAAAAGAGAAAGAAAGGTAATTTACACCAGTTGTTTGAATATGCAATGCATGTTGACCAGCCTTCTCCACTCATGCTGGCTATCAGGGCCCGAGGACCAGCGAAACAGAACCGTGAGCATGCTGAAAGGCTCAAGGGACTAGTTGCTGACCTTCCATTTCCCATGCAGTTCCCAAGTCTGCAAAAGATTTAATAATTTAAGGCTAGGAGTGATTCTCCTTCCTTTTCACTCCAATATGGGAACCGGGAGGAAAACAGGAACATGGGTTCTCAAAGGACAGCAACACACTCCTAAATTCCATTCATTATTTGAGGGGAAAAGGCCTGTTCATTCAGAAAATCATACTAGGATCCTGGTTCCAGTGCAAAGTCAGACAGTTCTGTTTTTTTCCTCTCCTTCCTACCCTGGCCCACAGCAATGAAAGTTCAGTACTGGGTGAGGAGTCCACAAAGCATGATGCCCAGATCTCTAGCTTCAGTAAAGAGGAATGTTGGAGAAGACGGTTTTAGATGCCAAGAAGTGGTACAGTGAGACACAAGAAAAGGACCCCAAGCAGCCTCCACTAGTGTGGACAGGCAGGTAAGGAGCAATTCCAGCCATCAAGGAAGTGCAGGGACTTTTGGCTGAGATAGTAAATAACTCATCATATAATAATCATTTCAGGACTCTGTTCTCTATCTGTGCTGTGCTGCCTAACACAGGCTAGAATCATCTGAGAGGAGGGAACCAACGGAGAAAGTGCCTCCATAAGATGAGGCTTAGGCAAGCCTGCAGGGCATTTTCTTTCTTTCTTTTTTTTTTGGGGGGGGGGGTTTCGAGACAGGGTTTCTCTGTGTAGCTTTGGAGCCTGTCCTGGAACTCATTTTCTTAATTAGTGATTAAATTGGGAGGGCAAAACCCATTGTGGGTGATGCCATCCCAGGGCTGGTGGTGCTGGACTGACTGTATAAGAAGGCAGGCTGAGCAAGTCACGGGGAGCCAGCCCTAAGCAGTGATCTTCCAGGCCTCTGCATCAGCTCCTGCCTCCGGGTTCCTGCTCTGAGCTCCTGCCCTGACTTCCCTTCATAAAGAGCTGTGAAACTGAAGTGTGAGCCAAACCAACCCTTTCCAACCCAAGCTGCTTTTAGTCATGGTGTTCATCACAGCAAGAGAAAGCCTAACTCAGACACTTGCCAAAGTTAGTTTTACAGGATCTAACTTGACCTTCCCATTGGCTTGTAACTTAAAACTTTAAAATGTATTTTTAAAACAGTTCAAAGGGAAAATGAATTGACAGCTGTGAACAGAACAGCATTTTTAATCCACCTGAGGAGGACAAGAAAATGCTTCCTAATCCCAGAGTACCTGAAACCCCCAAGCAAGAAAAGCCCCAAGACTGCTGAAAAAGCCTGTGTTCTGTGGAGACCTGGAAGTAACAACCAACAAACAGAGCAGGTCTAGGAACACAGCACAGGTTCAAATCCCAAGCAGGGACTGCTGTGTCTGTTCATGGTCACAGGGTCCTGGAGTTCCTCTAACCTTGGCTACTGACTACCCGCGCAGGAAAGCGGTCTCCACCACTTGAAGAAACACTCAACTGCTATTGCCAACGTTTTTGTCAGGCATTGTGGCTCATACCTGTGACCCAGTTCTCAGGAGACTGTATCAGGGGGATTGCTGTAAACCGAGGCTGGCTGGACTTCATAGTGAATTCCAGATCTTCCCGGGCTATGAGTAAAACCCTGTCTAAAGGAAATCCCCAAAACCAGCCCAAACTCCCAAACCAAAACCGGGCAATATTTTCCTGCTTTAAGCTATAGATGAATTAACTGATCAGACACAAGTTAAAATGGAAAAAAGCTAAAAGCAAGTATTTCTCCCACTGGCTGGGTAAATTTACACACTGTGGCTGGCTTTCTTTCTCCATTAATCCAGTGATCATAACTTTTTTTTTTTTTTTTTTTTGAGCTGGGGCCTCTCTATGTAGCACTGGCTGGCCTGGAACTCACTATGTAGACCTGACTTGAATTCACAGAGCTTTACCTGCCTTTGCATCCCGAATGCTGGGATTAAAGGTGTGTGCCCCCAGCATTTTTATTTGGTAATTCTTGTGAAGCCTATGCTTAGTCGGTTTTTAACATTTTTATTTTTCAGCTGTTTTTTTCCTCAATAGCTTGGTAATCTCTTCATGAAACGTTCTTCTCATACAACCCAAAGACTAAACAAAGAAAAAAGTCCCGAATCATATTGTATTTATAAGCAGATAAAAAGTTTTAGTATTTTTCAATAGGGCTTGCTTTTACCTTGGTATTTAGAGAATTTAAATGTCACTCAACCTGAGTTTTATTTACAGTGTTGTTAGCCAAACATTTACCGCATCAATAAATTTTACTCAGAAATTGTTTATTTTGAAGTGCATACCTAGTTAAGAAGGGAAAGTAAGCACGATTACATTTTGAAGGCTTTGCTTATGAAAATGAATTTTAAAGTTGCAAAAATTCCACAGTCTACACAATCACAGGAGTAGGAAGTGACTACAAATTCAGTATTATTAGCATCTGTGTAACAACCTGGGCGGCCAGTGAAAGCCAGGGTTCTCACAGGCGAAGTGGTTTTTAGAAGGTCCAGAGTAAAGAGAACGAAGTTTCTGTGGTCCACCTCCAGAACCTTAGCGTTCCCGTCTTAAGACGAAAAGTACATTTATTTCCAGAATCATGAATACAGGCACAATAGGTTCTTCTCTCTTTTTTAAAGAAAAGCAAGAATGTTTAAAAGAAATAAAAACAGGATGGGGAGTCGGCAGGGCCAAAGGGTGGCGGAGCATATGCAAGGCCCGAGGTGGTCCACCAGTTCTCAAACAGACCAGCAAACAAGAAACCTCAACCACAAGCCCAAACCTAAACACCTGGATGGAAATATGTGGAATGTATTGTCAGTGAAACTACAAGTGACGGGGACTCAATCTTGTGTACCAACCATGAATTCCAAAACGTTTTGGCTATTTTGGGGGTGTTATTACTTAGCGAGGCTTTAAGTGCAACTCCAGTTTCTAAATAACATGTAATCCTGGCCTCATCACTAATCCTATACATAAGAGGCATAATTTATCGGGTTTTCAAAATCCATCAAGGCACCACGAGTGTTTTATCTACGTCACAGGGGCCGGTGCTTGAGATTAAGAAAAGGGTGTTATGATCACGATACACTGTATACATGTACGAAGCTGCCAAAGAATAAAAGACATTCTTTAAAAGGAAAAAACCCTATGGAATTCAGTCTGCCTTTTCTCGGAGACTCTTTTGGGGGGGGCTTTGGGTCTGCATGGACTTGGTGCTCACTCTGCGCGACCCCTGTGTCTGCTGCACCCCGCTCCAGCACGGGCTTGCCCAGAAAAAAGAACAGATGAAGAGTTGGAGGTAAGCAAAACCCAAAACGCTCCTTCAAACTTTATTTTCTTTTGAGACAGGGTTATCGTAGCCCAGACTGGCTTCCAACTGGATGGAGATGACCTTGAACTTCTGATCCCCCTGCCTCCACCTCCAGAATGCTGGGAGGACGGCCCGCGCAATACACAGGGCTCGAACCCTGGGCTCCGTGCCCGGCAGACAAGCACCATGTCAGCCGAGCCACATCCCCAGCTCCCTTTCCGACGCCCAGGCGCGCTGGGAAAGAGTTCTCTGTCAGGGCGTTCGGTCCCAGCACAGCCTACGTACCGTGGCCGCCCGGGTTTAGCGGGGTCCTCGCTACCTTCTCGGGCAGCCCCGAGGCAGCGCACGTCCGCTCCCCTCCGGAGGGCGGCGCAACGCGGGGAGGCTTGCGGCTCCCGGGGAAAAGTCTCCTCAGCCGGGCGCTGACGCGAAGCCGTGACTTCACGGCCCGGTCCCGGGAGCGACGCCATCTTGCCGGCCCTGTCCTCCTCAGCGGCTCGCACTCCTAGGCTCGCACTCTCAGGCTCCCGGCTCCCTCGCCCCGCCGGGCGACACACGCGGCGGAGGAGGGGCGCAGGCTGCCGGCCAC